GATTGCACATTGAATGAGGAAAATTATATTCATAATTTTTAATTTATATTAAATGTATAAATAAATCAAATAAATAATAAATGCAGTACATGTAAATAAATAATAAATATTAAATTATATTAAAAATAAAATGAAAATGTTTAATACTGCACACTGAAGGAGAATTGTTTATTAATTATTTAGTAAATGTATATTAAATATAAATAAAATAATGAATATATGTAAAAAATAAATATACAATGTATTACTAAATATACAATTTATAAAAAATAATTATATTAAAAATTTAATTACAAAATATCATAGAGAGGTTGATGAAGCTTAAATCTGTTTTAAATAAGTCTTATATTTATTTTAAGATTGCACATTGAAGGAGGAGAATTACATTTATATTTTTAAAATGATAAATATAATATAATATAATATAATATAATATAATATAATATAATATAATATAATATAATATAATATAATATAATATAAAAGTATTATATTGATTAAATTATTAAGTATTTTTATTATAAAACAGGAAAAATATATAATCTACCTGTTAGCTGGTCAGGCCAAGACACATCTGAACAATCACCAAAACCAGCTAGATGTTGCCTTAAATGTTGTAAAGAAAGCATGAAAGTTATGTCATTAAGTCTGTATACATGATGCCTCAACATGCTGTCTAGGTAGGCAGCTCACTAGATTTTGGAAGAGGCTATTCTTCCATGTTTTTCCTTTAAGCTTATCAACACATCTTAATGAGGATAAAGCTGTTCCACGGTAAAATCCTTTTAAAAACCTGTTTGTAGTCTAACAACCACTTCATCAGACTTCATTCTGATCTTTTCATTAGTGAAATTCTCTTTGTACCTTTCAACATCACATCTAACCCTATGCACTACGGTTTTACAACTTACTCAAAATGAAAGTTTCGTTTCCTAAAGAAATTTCTTTCTTCCATGGAAGACAAATGAATATGTTTAGCAACATTTTCATTTGCATACAATCTCAGAAAAGGACAAAAAGCACTATAAAAGCACCATAACAGGCTCTTCAGATTACTACTTTGGTGTTTTTATGGAGCTTTTTGGTGATTGGAGTTTAACAGCATCTGTCTTCACAAATTTTCACTGAATCCACCTTGATGCTTCACATAAATTATGGAAGTAACTTCTGTTAAACTGTAAACAATCAGCCAAAGATTTGCTCTTTGACTGCCCCCTAGAGGACGCAGTTCGAAGTTCCCATGAAAGGGAACAAGCATTTTCAAAAACTTGGTACTATGAGGTGACATTATAAATAAATACTGTATTTACTGGCTTTAGAAACCTTACAATAAGGACTGATAATCGGGATTAGAAGTGAAAAGAGGAGGCAAATACATTTTAAAGCATCCTTGTGAAAACACACCTGCAAAGAGACGTGAGGATTTAGGGAGAAAAACCAGAGATTCTCAGTGCATTCAGTGAATTATTCATGAGATATATTGTAAATTAAGACCACAAATATGCAGTATATGTTGTCTTTTCATACTGAAAATAATCCTAAGGAAAAGATGCAGCGGCTGAAAAGAGCTCACGTCACATTACACTACCAAGCGTTACGTTATTCTCCTGATGTCTGATTATAAAACATGAAGGGAAATTTACAGCTCATTCAGTCAAGCTCACGATAAGGATGATTTGTAATGATTATGATTTTGATTTGAAATGATTTGTTTCAGTCTTTTTAAGTGGAACTTACTCAAACTGGAAGAGCCTCCCATAATTTAAAATGTAGTATAGGAAAAAGATGGATAGAAAAGTCAACATGTCATGAACAATATAATAGTCTTCAAAATACCTCCTTTTCTAGGGCCCCATGAAATGTTTCATTTTTCCCAAATCCCCCTCCCCCTTTTTCCCTCTTCAACATTCCATTTTTTTCTGTTTTTGTTCATTTAGATTCCTTTTTTTTTCATTTCCAACATTTTTAATGAACTGAATTCATGAAAACAACTATTTATTTATGTATTTACATTAATAGTAGGGATGTGCAACAGCGATCGAGTACTCGAGTACTCGGCCGTGACAGCGACGATCGAGCATGAAAACGATGATCATGGAAAAAAAAAATTCTGATTGGTTATAGCAGCAGTTTGGGTGGTACCATGAGCTCTGATTGTTTAGCTTGCAACAGCATGCGGTCCAAAGTACAGACGTGAGAAGAGAGAAGCATGGCTTCGGAGTCACATAGTGATGTCTGGGTTAGCTACATATCCGATTAATCTAATATTGGATGTGTTGGGATATTCATTTGTTAACATGCCGAATGCGCTGCATATTACCAGTGTTTAGTTTCATGCTCAAATGCAATGCCCGATATTGACTATCTGTGCTATTTGAGACTGTCATATTTCTTTTTTTTTATATACAGCAGTGCTTTTTTTGTCATATTTGTTCAATAGTAGGCATACTTCAATTAAAATTGTTTTCGTACTTCATATGGCTTCCAAAACGTGCAGGCGATTTCAGAAATCACTTAATAATGTAGATGAAAATATAGCACAAATCTGCCATAAACACAGCATTACAATGAGAACTTTATAGAAAACTACAGAAAATTCTGTCTTTTTTACTTGTTCGTGTTTAAGCGCGCTGTCATGAAAGCGCATCACGGTGGGAGATCTCTCTCTCTCTCTCTCTCACGCTATAGCATGTAACTTAATTAAGAAATTATTTTAACCCAAAAAGCAAATTATGTTCCCTTCGAACTGATTGTCTTTAAAATACAAATCTTTGTAATCCCAGGCTATCTGTAATCAGAAGCACATTTATAACTGGAATATAATTTAATTTCATTCACATGTGTTTCATAAACACATAATCCTTTATGGATTACAATCCGCCATCAAAATGATACATAAATGTTACGTTTATGTTATTTATCTAAGTTATCTGATTAATATCATAGGATGTGTCATAGAACGGGCTTCATTTCATTGGCATAAAGTCACTCTTCAGCTTCACTTCAGGCAGCTATTCCTTTTTAGATGCTGCTTTTTAATAACATTGCTGCATCATAATCATAATCTAGACATGTTATCATGTTATCATGTCATGTTTTTATTTTTAACATTCATTTTCATGACAGTCTTCAGATATTTTCATTATCTCCATTACGACCATGCCCCGCCCGCTGCACAAGCCCCACCCCCGAGTATTCGAGTACTCGTTTTTGAAACCTATCAATGATCGAAATGAGAAATTGCCAAAAAATGCCCATCCCTAATTAATAGTGCCATTTGAAATGCTTTATTTATTTATTTATTTATATATTTTTTGTATATTTAATTTTTCTGGTAATCAAATGAAGCCATCAATTATTCATTTAACTTACCTTTTCATCCAATGAAGTTCTGCACAAGAAAGGTCTACTGTTAAAATTAAAACATGGATGAAAAATTTTATGATAATTCATAAAAAAAACAATAGCCATGTTTTAATAATAATTTTATTATTATTATGAATTATTATTATTAGTGTTATTACCGTATTGGCCCGAATATAAGACGACCCCCCTTTTTCCAGATGTACCTTTTGGAAAAAGGCTTTTTAAAAACCAAATCTTGTTTTTTCTCAGTAAAACACATTTTGTCTTCAATTATTTTCATATTGCATATTTTTCCTATTTTAATTTTTGTTTTGAAAGTATGGTAAAAACTGGTAAAATGTACCAACAATCACATAAAAAAAATATACACTTAAAAAAAAAAAAAAAAACAGGTAGCCCATCTGAATTAGAACATTTAGGCTATCCATCTATTAGTAGCCTACCAAAATCTTATTAACAGTATAAGTTTAATCTTACTGTAGACTTCAAATCTGGGTACTGTCTTACGTTTTAAAATCACAAAGGGAGTTTGGTCCCATCATGCTAACGTGACAGTCAGGATTCATGCAGCTGTAAGGTTTTCTTTTTCTTTTGTTTTTACTCGCGATCTTTACAACACGCATTACATTACGTATTCCATGGCACACTCGGTTTATGCGTATTTGGCGCCATCTATTGTTGTGGGTGTATTATTGACATGTCAAAGTCTAGACCCTGAATATAAGACAACCGCGTTTTTTCAGATGTATTTCCAAGAAAAAAACATAGTCTTATATTCGGGTCAATACGGTATTATTATATGGAGTCATACATTATACTGTATAAGAGTAATATAGTAATAATAGTATTTCTTTCACAATTTCTTCAAGTTAAACCAAACTTTAATTTTGATGGGTTGGCGTAGAGAGTTTTGTTTGTGTGTGTATATATGATATGACGATAGTTTTTCTCAAATGAAACAGTCAAATGCTCAATAAGAGCAGTTTTGGAGATGTTGTTCATGTATTTATGTCCTTATTTAGTGAGACACTGAAACGATGAAGCACAATACAGTATGTGTGTAGTAAAGGAAACCGCATGTCTGTGCCATTCATTCACACAGAGACACATGCAGGATTCATATTATAAGTCCGTTTTTATATTATATTGCAGTTTAATATTCGCAGACACTAGTCCATTTTGCCATATGATGTGTACTGACAAAATCTGACAAATTCCGTGACATTCCACTTAATAAATAATGACTGAATAATAAAATTTAATGACTGAATTCTGTGATTCCGTCCGTGTTTTCCGCATTGCAGAAATCATACGGCAATACTTTTGTGCTCCAGAGAACACACACAGATTTAAAACAAGTAAATTATGACAGAATTTCAATACCTTGGCAAACTATCCCTTAAGTTTTGCACAGAGAAACAGGCAGCTACTGTGAATGCATTAGCATTCTGAGTCCATTTTACCTACAGCCGACCATACTGACTGACACAAATTAGCCTGAAAATCCCATCAAATCCCTCTTAAGGAGCTGCATTGGCTGGTCACCCGTAGTGCTGCATCTCACGCTGCAGATGTGGATCTGTATACCTCAGCAGCTCAGCCTAAATCAGATCAGACGGCATCATAAACGCTACCTGTCCCTCGTAAATCACGATAAAACGGCCAAGCGGTGGGGCGCCGAGGTGGGCCGCGCTGAGAGAGCCAGGCAAGAGCGACACCTGCTCGGGACGGGAGCCGCGGCGCATTGGCAGCACAGGAAGTGAAAGCTCTGAATGCAGCCAAAGCGTCGGAGCCAGATGGATAGAGCCATCAGACAGGTGGAGCCCGGCGAACCCAAATCCAGCCGCCCGCTGCGTCTCGCTCATAATCAGGACAGCCAGACCCAAGATGGGGATATTCAAGAGCACGACGGGACCTACATTCACATCAGAAACGCCAATGTTTATAGCCAGAGGATGATTTAATGCTCACATGCTGCTCAGAAAGGCTAATGGAGCTGTTTCACTTAAGTATCAACACTGTCTCAGATGTTTCTGCTAAGA